TCCAAATGACTAGTTGCTGACATATGCATAATAAATAAAAATATGTCCATACTTCTAATTTGTAGGGTCGTTACAAACCCATGGAGCCAGCACTAGGTGAAGTACCTTTTCAGGTTTCTCTTTCAATGCGAATAAATGGTTCTCACTATCCATTCTGCGGTGGTAGTCTCGTTCATCCTAGATGGGTTCTTACTGCAGCTCATTGCCTTGAGCAAGATGGAGAGCCATTTCCACCGTAAGTACAGGGTGATCTTCCGGGAATAGGGATCCAACTCAAAATGAGAACACTTTTCTTTCAATGATCGACCTCAAAAAAAATAATACCATTTTCCTCTTTTGATCGATCCTTTACCACAAATTCATGCGGAATGAAAGTTAATGATGGTAAAGTATACTAAGTGACATATAAATCCGAACACCCAGTTTAAATGGTTTTATTTTAATAAAAGTTGCTGAATATATTTATCTTACTGTAAATAACAAGTGAAAAAATTTTCAGCCTTATCAGTTGGACATTCCGGTTTTTTTACTGCTTTTTTTTAATTCGCTAACGCTCTAAAAATGAATATTTCAGCCGCAGTAAAAAATCAACGTTGGCGGATTTGGTTCTTGACATCCTTTACGATCGGTTACGATGCCTAGAGTACGGAGACCTGTACGATTTCGTCAACTTAGTGAGTTTGATAGCTGCCGTATAGTGGGACTTCGGGAAGCTGGACTTTCTTTTCGGGCAATTGCAGTTAGAGTGCAAAGAAGTGTAGACACTGTGGTTAGGTGTTGTCAGGCATGGCTTCGAGAAGGCCGTACGCAAAAAGCAAGGGGCACTGGACGCCGCCGTAGAACAACAGACCGTAAAGATCGCCGCCTAAGATTATTGGCCTTAAGGGACCGTTTCTCCACTACCAGGTCCATTGCAAATGAATGGTTTGCAGAACACGGAAGACCTATTGGCATGCGAAGTGTTTACCGACGAATGAGAAGTTTTGGCTTGTTTTCATACCGGCCACACTGGGTCCTCCCTTTAACTCGAGAACACCGACGTAATCACCTTGAGTGGTGCAGACAACGGCCACTCTGGGATCAGGAATGGAACAGTATTGTCTTTAGTGACGAGTCTCGATTTTGTTTAGGCATGCACGATGGTCGTGCCAGGGTTAGAAGGCGACGTGGTGAAAGGAGGAATCCACAGTTTTTTGTTGAAAGACATGTTCATCACACTGTTGGAGTTATGGTTTGGGGTGCTATAGCTTATGGTTCCAGGTCACCTTTAATCTTCATCAGAGGTAACATGAACGCGCAGCGTTATATCCACGAAGTTCTAGAACCCCATCTTTTACCGTATCTTGACACCCTGGCAGATCCAACTTTCCAACAAGATAATGATGTCACATTGTTACCATGGCCACCAAGACCTCCCGACTTATCCCCAATTGAGCACGTGTGGGATATGATGGGTAGGAGATTGCTCAATTTGCAACGTCCTTCTCAGACTCTAGAAACACTTCGAGAGGAGTTGGTGGTTGCCTGGAATGAGATACATTGACCACCTGATCAGAAGCATGCCTAGGCGCGTTGGAGAATGCGTAGCACATCAGGGTGCATCAACACATTATTAAAGGTCAAAGGGCTTTAAAGCAATACAATCATTTTGAAATTTTTGTCATTTACTTATTATGCTTCATTAAGTACTTATACAAAATTTTATTAAAATAAAACCATTTAAACTGGGTGTTCGGATTTATATGTCACTTAGTATATTAAAGTTACGCTAGATATTAAAATACAATTTTAACGCTGGATTGAGTTTGTAGTTTAATGAGCAATATGAATTAATTTTTGATCGATACGTGGATAGTGGACAAGTACATTGAAAGAAATAAGTATCTCATGTCACTTTGCTATGTGATTCCGCAAATCACAGAATAACTCACATCCCATCCAAGCTTAGTCGAAAGTATCGGACCTCATACCTCAAGAAAGAAAGATAGTATCCACGTCAGTCTTTGGGACATATTGCAAGACCCAAAGTATCACATATTATGGACTTCGCCCAACGGTCAATTTTTGAGGAAATTCGGATAGAGATGGTTCATGTTGTGCTAAAACTAAATGGAACGTTCCATATATTTTTACACTATCCGACTCACGTTTTCATAAATTTCTTCTCATATCAAGTTTAATACTGCTTCGTTAAGCTGCTATCTGATTATTCATGATACAGGTAAAATGTAAGGTGTTTCATTACAGGAACATGTTTGTTATGCCAGGGAATTGTGTAATACCCTGCTATCTCCATATAATTTAGAAATACACACCTATAAGATGTCAATGTTGGTTCTCTATGAAACTACCTTCCGTTTCCGTTGGTACACCTGTATACATTGTTGTTTGAGCGCATTGAAACATTTGATCAGCACAACGTGGGCTATTACTGTACAAGTTTTCATTAAAACTAAAATTCCGTAATTATGTTTTGTGCCTTGTACTTTCCGAGGTGGTCTATCAAATCAAAGTATGTAATCTTCTGATCCATGAATGAAAGTTGCATGGTGAAACTGGCATTTCGATTGTTTTAGACATATGATGTATGCAACAGTAGGAACCATAAACATAAACGGGAAAGGAGGGCAGAGAATCAAAGTTGAAACGTTCATCATGAACCGAAAATATCTAGAATCTGATTCTGGGTATGACATTGGGGTCGTGAAGCTATCAGCTAACGCAAAGCTAGGTGAGTGAACGGTATATCTTTACAAAGGGATATGTCATTTGAAAACAAATACTATGTATCTTTATGTCAGGTAGATTGATCCTGTACGTAGATCCTACATTCATATGATTGAGAGATCCTGACAAAACAACATCGAAGAACCTGATACTGTGCAGACGTAGACACGTAGGAAACAGCTTGATTTTTCTATGACAAAATAGTACATTTTGAGCAATAGTAACTTTTTTCAAGTATATGTTTATATAAACGGTAATTGTACATCATACTAGGACATTTTGATAAACGCGTTTGAACGAATATCTCCTAAACTATCGATTCAACGTAAAAAAAACTTAAACAGAATTTTGTAGGAAATTGAATTTTGCTACAATAAAACTTATTACATAGTCAACAGGTTACGAGGAATTTATAATGGTTAAACTAGCAAAAAAAAAGATTACTATCCTTTTTATTAGAGAATAAAATTTTCCACAAAAAATGTAGGTTCTAATTTTTTCTGCAAGTTAATGGTTATCGAGGTAGAGTAGAAGGTAGAAAGCTGTGTAAAAGTCCTCGCGTGATTATATGTACATTGCAGTATCGTTTTACAGAAGGAACCACAAGGTTAATTAAAGCTATTTGTTTCAAAATAACTTCACTGAATGTATTATTGGTGTAGTTCTGCATCAGAAGAAAATGTAAGGTAATAAAAAGAGTCGTTGCGAGATTCACTTCGGGATTGAGTTTTCAAACCAAATAATGCTATATTATTTCCTACATTACTGTGACAACATTCTTCAAAAGTTTCCAGTCCAATTCAGCTCACTTCACCTCGTATGATACTGGCCTTCTGCTAAAGACTCCTCATTTCTGTATAACTTCAGAGTCATCCAAAGGATAGCCACAAATGAAACTGGTGCTCGTTTTTACAATCTATTCGCGAGAAATCAGAACAAAGGCATACAAATGAATACAAGGGTTCACGAAAACAATGACATATTAGTCTATCTATTGCATCTATAACAGAGATATGTGTTCCTATTAATTGTGATAGATAATAGTATAAACTGTGCAAAAATTGTTTTTTATTGCAAGACTAATGCTTCCCTTTATGTTCATGAAAAGCATGAAGACGGTATTGAGTGGAATGTATATGGTGTGCCACAGAAAAGCCACACAAAAGTTCCTTAGCATTTGCCTCTTGTCATTCGAGTCACCAATTTTATGAAAAAAATGCGTGAAACCTTTTTTGTTTACAATTTTACACCCTACTAAAAAGATGGTAGTTTTTCTACGGTATTGTTGTTAGTTTAGCCCATTGATTCCCAAAGTGGTCTAAATCGACCCCTAGGGGTCTATGACAACCTGCAAGGGGTCTACGTCAGCGAAAAAAAATTTGGGGGTCCATGAAATGAATATGGGGGTCCACGATAGTGGATCTCAACACATACACTGATAGTACCTATTTACTTACATCATACTATCTTATAATATCAAAACATATACATTATTTATGAAAGTACCTACATATGAAGTAAAAAAATTATTATATATGTTTATGAAATTGTGTAAGTTGTAGGATGTTGGTATTCGCTTTGTGGTCGCAATACATTTTGAACTGGTAAAAACCTGCGAGTCGCAATCTCAGAGCTTCGCTACCTTGCACTGACTTGTTCAATTCGTCACTCTATAAATACGAATGTGGGACAAATACGTTTATTCGTTTCCTGGATCTTGAGAAGGAAAGAAAATATTTTAAAAAATGTAAACAGGTAGTATATCACACAAATTATAGTGAGTCAGTGTTATTTTGTTTGAGAGTGCTGGAGAAAAGTAAGTACATTATTTTTTATTAAATTTTAGTTTTGTACTCGTAGTTAGCAAAGATAGATAAATTACGCCAATCATGACTTTAGTTATTAGTAGTTAAATATTCAATCATGCAAAATTACACGAGTACTCCTCAATAGTTTCTTTTTGAAAGTTTTAGCAATCGGTAATATAATTACAGTGCAATCTCCGTAATTCGAGCTAATTGTTGCAAGAAGATGTTCGAATTATGGAATGTTTTCGGAAAAATCAAAAAATATTTTTAATATACAGCTGCTGCATTTTCGGTTTTATTTAAATAATTTAATTTTGCCCCCAGATGACTGATGCCATGTCCGAATCTAGAAAGAAATGTAGACAGTACAGTGTTGATTATTTGAAATTTGGCTTAATTCCATCATTGCCGGACAAACAATCGCCTACGTGCCTTTTATGCAACCAAGTTTTTGGCAATGACGCTATGACACCATCTAAACTGCAAGATGATCTGAGAAGATGCCACCCTGATAAAACAGAGAAAGATTTGAAATACTTTCAAACACTCAAAGATAAATTTCAGAAGAGACCTACACTGGACAGAATGTTCGCTTCGACGTCACAAAGAAATGATGATGGTTTGCGGGCGTCTTACAATATCTCGTTACTTATAGCAAAATTCGGAAAACCGCATACTATCGGAGAGAAGTTAATTTTGCCGTTGAAGAGGTTTTAAAAACTGTTTTACACAAACCTGCATCTGATATCATCAAAAGAATTCCCTTAAGCAACAATACTGTTGAAAGACGTATTGATGAAATGAGTTCTGATATTGAAAGCTTCTTATGTAATTATTTGCAAACGACCCATTTCTCTATACAACTGGACGAGTCAACTTTATCTGATAATGCAGCATTATTATTGGCATATGTTCGTTTTATTAGAAATCAAGAAATCTACGAAGAACTGCTCTTCGCAAGAACTTTGATAACCGACACTACAGGTGAATCAATATTTCATGTTTTGAAGGATTACTTCATTGAAAGAGCAATTCCTTTATCAAATATAATATCAGTAGCTACAGATGGAGCACCTGCCATGGTTGGACGTTATCGTGGGTTTATAAGCTATTTAAAACAAAATGTGTCAAGGGTGTTAGCAATACATTGCGTCATCCATCGACAACATTTAGTTGCAAAAAATTTGAGTGTTAGATTGCATGAATCACTTCATTTATTCATTGATGCATTAAACCGAATCCGAAGCAATGCATTGAATACGCGGTTATTTGCACAGTTGTGTGAAGAAAATGACGAACACTTTCATCAATTACTCCTTCACACTTAAGTACGCTGGCTGTCGAAAGGCTTATGTTTGGCAAGATTTTTTGCACTTTTTGAGACTATTTTAGAATTTCTGGATACTAAAGATAAAATTTTAAAAGAAAATTTAATGAAGAGGAAAACAGACATCGCCTATTTAACAGATTTGTTTACAAAATTTAATATGGTTAATTTGCAATTACAAGGCGACAGTTTAAATTTGATTAAAACCAAGTCCATCTTATCAGCGTTTCTTGCCAGAGTTAAACTAATGAAGCAAAATATTGGGCGTATTTTCTCAGTTCCCCAATTTGTCACAGCCAGGAAGACGACGTTTCAACTTACGTTCAACATTTAAATGTCCTCTATTCAGATTTTGAATCTAGGTTTGAGGATATTTTGACTATGGTAGTACCATCGTGGATAATTAATCCACATGGTGACATAGAAGAAACGAATGAATAATATAAGAGGAACTGACTGAACTAAGTTCAAACGAAGAACTTAAGGTTCAGTTTAAAAACGTATATCAGCAATTCTGGCTGCAAAACAACATACCCGTTACTTATCCCGTATTATGGAATATAGCGAGGAAATTTGTAATTTCCTTTCCATCGTCATACCTAGTGGAAAGGGCTGTTACTAATCTCCTAACGAAAAAAAGAAACAAACGGGACATCATTAGCCCAGGACATTTAAGATTAACCCTTACAGAATTGACGCCAAATGTTGATAATTTATTATTAAAGCATCAGGTTCATCCTTCTCACTAAAAGTATTGACTTATTGCTTATGCTATTTTATTTATAGTTTATTTTATGTTTATTGGTGTCTGACCAATAAATGTCCGCATTGGGAATAAGTGTCCGCATTGATTTTTTTAAAGAACCCCCCTTTATAGAAAATATTTTTTTTTAAATTATTTAGAAAATTTAAGGATAGGTACACACTAAAATTCGTTAATTTTTTGCCTATTTTTAGATAACTTAAATGTATAAGAAGCGGAATTTAATCAAACTAATAGTGAAATTAAAGTAGAACATACGTTTATGTTATAATTAATAAAGGAACTCGCTTATTGTACTATTTTAAGTAAAAAACTTTTTTTATTATTTTTTACTTTTTTTTATTTTATCCCTCTTATTTTTTTCCAATGCGGGCACTTATTGGTCAGACACCTGTTTATTTAATGTTACGTATATTTTACATAACAGATACAAAATTTTATTTTATTTAAATTCAAATAATAAATGTATAAATTGGCATGTGTTTTTACTATAAGTTTTTAATACTAAACTTCACTACAGTTAGAAATTTACAGGAAATCAATATCAGGTAAGTAGGGGGTCTACCCAACACGGAAAAACATGGCAAGGGGTCTACGACACAAAAAAGTTTGGAGAACTCTGGTTTAGCCAGTAGAAGTGAAAATATGGTTACATGTACCTTTACCTTTAAATTTCTAGGAAACTGCTGGCGAAATCGCAAATTTACAGAAAAGCAAGATTTGCAAGAATTCAATTCTCTACAAAATTGTTTCTATTAATTTTTAATATAGCATCTATAGTTTACGATCAAACGCGCTTATCAAAAGCGCTGCAAAAGCAGTAATCTAACGGTGCTGTAAAAAAAAATTTACTGTCGCCCAAAATGTAGGACCTGGTTATTGTGAGACAGCATATTTAATGAAGTTGACGTCTGATTATGGAGTAGTGATTGCTAGTACAATACATAAATTGATGAAAGAAATTATTTTTAGGCAGAAACGTTAAGCTTATAAAGCTCCATGTCAACAATAAAGAACCCTTAATAGGAAGTACAGCTTATTTAGCTGGGTTTGGCATTATTAATGGTGAGTGATTTGAGGTGTGTGCTTGAGCTGCGAGATACTAGCGACAACATACTGTACAAGGGCGTACCCAGGGGAGCGGGGCAAGGGACGCTGCAAAAATGAAATGCATAGAGCACTTTTTACAGAAAATAAGTCAATCATGTACAGAGCTGTCCACAAGTTAAATCAATATTAGATAAGAAATATCTAGGATTAGTTTAAGTTTATGTTAGATAAAAATTTAATTTTGCTAGAAGCACTAGACATGTTACGTGTGTTTCAAATTTGGACTTCGCCTTCGGAGCTCGGAAACAGCAAAGCGAATATCAGACGATGAGTATTTACTGTGGCGCCATCAGTGGATTTCTGCGTAAAGTTATGCATCAGTAATTACTGACGTCCGTGCTAAACGATGATCAAATATCACATCTCATGACGAATATATTGACGGATCACAGTAAATACTGATCTTATGACATTCGCCTAAACGACTCGGAGTACTTTATGAGGGCAAGTTGCGAACGTAAATAAAAAATGGAACTTGAAAAGTTTGTAAGTTCTAAGTAACTCCGAATTTATGTTTTTAACATTTCCTGGCTTTAGTCTGAAACAAAACTTTTCAAACATTCACAATGCCTACAAATTCCAAACAAATTACTCAATAACATTACCACTTTTCTCCTCTACTCGGTGGCATAATAAGAATTTTAGTCTGACGTTTGAGCTCTCAGTTTTCTAAATTATACCGGTTTCGATGCCTTCATTGTCACCCTTAACTAATATCAATGAGTTACACTATCTTGTTCCTCATTCGATGAGTTTAAACCAACTATATGAGGTTAAGCACCTTATATCTATATGTAACATGTTATCTTTGGTATTCTATGAAATAAATGACTCAATGATAATTCAAAGGCTTAATGAGGATTTTTGTATACTTATATAATAATATAATAAAATACAGGGTGCGCCATATTTTATGTCAGTATGTAAATATGAAATAATTTTGAAAACGAAAAACTGATTTCTATATATGGGGTATTTTTATTAAATATGGTCTTTTACAGTTTATTGGGACTAGTTTTTGAACACAACGTCTATCAAAGTGGCCGCCTTTATTGGCCAAAACAAAATGTGCCCGTTTTGCTGCGTTTTCCATTACTTTTTCGAGCATCTCTGGTGGTATAGCGACGATTGCGGTACGAATGTTTGCTTTCAGTTCTTCAGTGGTCTGGAGGTTGCTGGCGTACAATTGACTTTTCAAATAACCCCACAAGAAGAAGTCCGGTGGGGTCAAATCTGGAGACCTGGGTGGCCAGTCAATGTCACCTCTTTTTGACATCAGACGTCCAGGGAATTTTCGTTGCTGAAACTGGATTGTTTCATTTGCAGTGTGGCATGGCACACCATCTTGTTGAAACCAGTAAACATCAGGACCTTTTTCACACATTTGTGGGCAGACATAATGAGCCAACATCCACCGATATCGATTGCCATCGACTGTTTCGTTTTCGTTGGAGAAAAATGACCCAATGATGGTTTTGGCGCAAACAGTCACTTTCCTATCATGCAACGGCATTTCGTGGGTCTCATGTGTGCTTATTAACGCCGCCAAAGAGCGTGAAATGGGCCTCGTCGGTCATCACAATTTGCTTCCAAAAATCAGGTTCAGCATCAACCATGCGAGCGATTGTTTAAATGCAAATCATCAGAATTAGTATATTATACCCCGGGATGGTCAGGTGGCAATATTTTTTGTGCTAACTGCACCTTATAAATGCAAATCATCAGAATTAGTATAATATATTATACCCCGGCTTTATCAAAATTTAGTCCTTTGAAGTAGCATATTAGAATGTACTCTAAAAAATGTGCAAGATGCCATTAAAAAAATGTTATTCTTGTCATGTTGGTATGAGTCAGCCTCTAATTTTTGTCAATAGCATGTTTAATTATGTTTTATAGTGATGAAGATATTGTCCAATTACGCACTAACAATCATCCTGTATGTCTAATTTGTTGCAGCAGTTACGTCGCTGGGTAGCTTGGTCATTTTCGAAGGTTCTATTCCAGGTTAATCGCTCGAAGGCTCCAACGTTTGCACTTTTCAGCAAAAAGGAACAATTTTCTGCAATAACTAATAAACAATTGCAACATACTGGACATACCCATTAGTTCTGATTTTAAAGGTGTTTTCATCTCTTTTCCAATTCTTCTATAGACTTATAACTTTGAATTTGGACAAAAAAGTTACTCAGAATTTTGTATTTCGAGATGAGAGGCCTTCGCAATCATTCCAAAGAATATATAATTCCTTCTGTACAATTTCTTTTACAGCAAGGTTCACATTTGGCTAGTTAGCCTGATCAAATAAGTTTTGTGACGTTTCTAGATACATATTGTAACAGGAGTTTCCCGATTTTTCAACGAAGATTCCACTCCAATATTTTTGAATTGCACACCTCTGGTAGTATTTGGAGCTATACGAAAGTGACTTGGTTATTAGAATCTGAAGAACAAGTTTTGTCGGATTTCACACTCTTTCAATCCTTTCAATAAGCTCTTGACTAGGTCTTAAAGTAC